GTGGTGGGGAGTTGACTGCGGCTTTGTGCTCACTTCTCTCCCGTCACCAGCCCTTCCCAGGCTTATATATGGTCTGACTGCGTCGTGCATCAGGCAACGGGTCAATGCTAAGCAGCTGGTGAATTTAGTGAAGGCAAATAAATCAAGCATGCTTCTGGCCTTCGTGGAGAATAGAGGCCAAGCCATATAAGCCATAGACATGAGCTGCCCTCATTCCGGCGGCCAGACTGGATTCTATTTGCTGTGGTCCTCTTTGTCCAGTGGTGAGGGTCATCAGCAGAGTGACACATGGCTCCACTTTCTGTGGAGAGCCATGGGACCACAGGGAATGGGGAGGAGCGAAGACAGGCCCATGCTCCCTCACCAGGTAGAACTTCCGGCTGATAATATTCACATAAGTATTAAGGAAACCGGGGGGGGGGGCGCTATAAATGGTCAGATTAAAGGAAGTCAGTCCTGCAAGTGTATTGACATGGACATTACCGTCACATTTTAGAGATGAGAACATTGAGTCCCCAAGGAGAGAGAATTGTCCCTGTTGGAAAGATCAGCCTGGCCCTGGGAGCACCCACAGTATCAACTTGTAATTGTCCCCCATTCTTCTCAGCTCAATCTCTACAGCAGAGTGCTGTAGAGACATCAGAGGATTGGATGGAACCAAAGAAGGGCCCCTACGAGAGTGTGGTGCTCTGAGCACCCAGAATGCACCTTGGGATGAGCACAACCAGGCAGCCTCAAGGAAACTTTAGAGACAGTCCCTGAGCTCAATACTGCAGGATGCTGTTGGACTTTGGAATCACAGAACATCTCTGAGCTTTGGTATCTGGAGCCATGGTGACCCCTTCTCTGTCTGCTAAGTCATCTCTGAAAACCAAGAGACAAAGCCACCCACTCACGCCGGCCTTAGATGGAGTGAAGGAATGGCCAGATTCTGGGATGAGTTTGTTCATGGAGACACTCTTGTTCAAAGAGTACTGTCATGGCTTTTAGGCACATGCAACCAGAGGCCCCAGTATGGAGAAATGGAGACCAGTGTGTGTTCCAAGAGCAAATAGATTACCCCTTTTAGAAGTGCCCTTGGGAGACACGAGAAGACCCCGGTCAGTCTCTGTCCCCTCAGAAGGAGCTGGGCAGTGTGATCCCTGAAGCCATCAGAATCAGTTTGCAGAGCTGATTCTTACTACACCTGAGAAACCAGCAGGGCCCAGTGAGTCACACAGCCAGCTCAGTGACAAGCGCAGCATATGATACACAACACTGATATCCAGGGACACTACTAGGGAAGCCAGCGCTCTCCTCTCTGGGGGCGGAGTCTGCCTCCTTTGACCCTTGAAGCTTTTAACTGATAGAACAGGACAAAGTATCACAGCTCAGAAAAGTAACAGTTTCCAGCGCTGTCATGACAAACATGTACTTGGGGTCCCGGAGCCTTGAAACCCCATGAAGCCCAAGCTCCCCACTTGGAGAGACTTGACACCATGAGCAGAATGGAGCTCTCCACTCAGTCCAGGACAGCTCGACCTGCATAGTTTCTATCAGCCACATGGAGAAAATAGCCACATGGGGAACCTCACGTCAGGGACCCCAAGGGGAGTGAGCCCTTTGAGTTTATAAATGCCCCCAACTCTTAGGATGTAATAAGTCATGATGAAGCCCCAGAGTCTGAGGCTAGCCCTCACAGAGGTACAGCATGCATATACAGGAACCCTGGATTCAACTGAGTCTCACGAGCCTATGCCCTGACCATTGTCTTACACAGACGAGCACCGCAGAAGGAATCTAAGCCTGTCCCTCGCCAGCACCTTTAAGCGAGAAGTGACACCACGCATGGTCACTCATCAGAGGCATTTCACAGCTGCACCCCATGGAGCCCACCCAGCGTCAGTGCCACAAGATAGAATAGAGACCAAAGAGCCCACAAAGACAAGAGACTCCCAGCTCCGAGGACATTTGTGGCACATGGCATCTGTGCACTCACTAACTGCGTCACTGTGGTGGGGCGGCCTGTGGGGAGAAGCAGATGGCCTGAGTACCAGTCTGGTGGCCACCAAGGGGGGGTTGGAGAGAAGGCGAGGACCTACCCAGGTTGTGGCTGGGTCACAGGTCACAGGAGAGTCACACGACCTGCAGAGCTTGGCTTTACCTCTGAGACGCCACTGGGACAATCTTTGCCACTCCCCGGGTTGTCCCTAAACTGCAGAGATTTCACACAGCCTGTGACCACTCATCTCAGGAACCACAGGAACCTAAGGGTGCAGCTGCCGTGTGGCACCTGATGAGAGGCTCCCATTTCTTCACATAGAGAGCAGAGGCAGACAGGAGTGGGTGTGTACGAGCCCCACGTGGGTGCCAACTCTTGTGTTAATGTTCTGTCGCTCCTGGTGTAACCACTATGTGCACATAGTGCAGGCCTTCATCAGCCTACTGTCACGTGTACACGATTGTGTGTCTGTGAACCTGTGTGCCGTGCATACGGAGGGCAGAAATCAGTATCAGGCGTGCTCCCTGTTGTTCTTCATCAGTGAGACAGAGCTGCTCACTGATCCTGGAAACCAGTGTCCAAGCTAGACTGTCTGGTCAGCAAGCCCACCAGAGATACAAATGCCAGCCACCATGCCCAGCTTATGTGGGTGCCAGGGATCCAAGTTCAGGTGCCCATGTTTGCATGGCAAAGCACTTCACCATCCGAGCCTCCTCACAGCCTCAGCTCATTTAACAGTAAGGAAACTGAGGCAGCCCTCCCCAGCAGCCTCTCCATTGCAGTCAGACCAGTATGCAAGTGTTCTCGAGGCTTCTCAGAACATTGGTGCGTATGTCACCACACTGTCACTCCACAAAGCCCCCATCCAGGCATGAGACCCCACATCTTCCTACCCAAATCATGCTGGTTTCAAGGCTTCCAAAGCAGGCTGAGAAGGCACCGGCAGGATCCTGATTAATGAAAATGAGCCTAATATATTTCAGAGCGATCTGTTGTGACACAAGGCAGAGGCGTTTACACACGACTGTGGATTTTTAATAGCTGATTCTAGAACAACCCATTATGAAATCTTCCAAAGCAGAAAAATACAGTAAATCACGGGGCAGGGCTTCCGGGCAGACTGACATGAGCTCTCCATAAAATAATGTAGAGGGTGGGGGGTGGAGGAAATTACTGCCATAACTATGAGTTAATAAAGTATTTATAGACATGGATTTCGCTCTTATCATCCTGAGCATGTCCATGCGAGGGAACATCTGAATGTACATCCAAGGGGTTGCCCACTAACCCAAGAGGAGAGGGAGTTGAGTAGAGCCCCTCTTTACCATGGCAGAGGACTGCAGTCTAGCCCAGTTGGAGGCAAAGAGCCTACCCAGTTGACACGGGAAGGCAGGATCAGCTGTCTGCTGGACTGGTCCTCTGTCTTCTCCTCTTTTTCCTCCTCACCCTCTTCCCCCTCACCCACCACCTCTTCTTTCTGCTGAACCTGTCCTAGAAGGCAGAAAGCCTCCTCCAGACAGCCTTGCCTACTGTGTGCAGCCTGGAGCTGTCAGTCAAAGACTCCTAGCCTATCAGAGCTGAGAGTTGGTCTCACGAGTAGCTCTAGTCTCTTTTTTCTTTCTAACCCTTGGGCATGGCCCCCTCCACTTTGGCTGCACTCAAGACAAGACCAACTGTGGACAGCCAAGGACTGGTGTTCTTAGAAATTACAGAAAAGGACATGAGAACCCAGAAGGAAGTGCATGACACTGCTAGAGGAAAAAGGCCACAGACAAAGACTAGAGAGGGAGGTGCTCCCATGAGCCTTCACGGGTGTGCACATAGCCTGCTCCGGATACCTGGCACTCAGCACTGACAGAGGAGAGCTGGACTCTTGTTATTTATGTCATCAAGATGTGGACATTTGTCATAGAGCCACAGCAATGAGAGAGACAAGAAACCACTGCAACAGTCCAAACCCAAACATGTAAATAGGCAAACGCCTGCTGTAAAGAGCTCACAACAAGGGCAGTGGTACCAGGGCATCAGCAGGGCAGGGAAGGGCTGAGGAGGAAAGGGCCAAGATGCCAAAGCCATAGAGACACTGATGTTGAGACACAACCAGGAATCTGTCAATCACAGACCATGGTATGAGTGGTGGAACCCAGCCTGTGTGATGGGTCCTCATCTATTGCATGGGCAACCTCAACTCAGAGCCTAAGGCTGTTCTGGGCAGCAGAAGCCAGCGGCAACTTAGTCATTAAAATTATGTACAACCAGAGCCGGAGAGATGATATGGTGTGCAAAGCCCCTGCTGCACAAGCGTGAGTCCATTCCCAGCACTTGTATGGACAAGTCAGACATGGTGGCCTGTCGCTAACCCAGAGCTAGAATGCAGAAACAGGGGCATCTTCGGGACACACCAGCCAATCTGCCGTGACTGGGCAGCTCCAGGCCAGTAAGAGACTCTGAAAACCCAAGGTGGACAGAACCTGAGGAAGAAGTCCTAATGCTCCCTCTGTCCTACAACACACATACACACCACACACCACATTCCACATACCACATATACACACATACATGCACACCTATACACCACACAGACATGCACACACATACACACATGCACATACACCACGCACACCATTCACACAACATGCCCATGCACATACATACATGCACACAAACATATACATACACCAGATATATACAAACATACCACACACATATTATACACATACAAATGCACATAAACACAATACTCTCACACACGTACACACACAGTTACATACAATTCTAAATTCAATTCCATAGCTATGGGCTACATTTCAAGTGCTCTATGGCCTATGTGCCCTGTGACTGCTGTGACAGACAGCAGAAATGACAGGGTCTCCATCAGTGTGGCAGGTTCCAGGACACCGCTGGCTGGAAAAATCGCTGGGGAACTCTGATTCAGGAGTGGTGACAGGTAGAGTCTGTCCCCACCTTTCTGAGAGAGGCGTCACGTCAGACAACAGCTTGCAGGAGGGACTGACCATACCTTTGCATGCCCCTGCTGCACCCAGGTGGTAGATGGCTGCCAGCACCCGCCAAATGGCTTGCTGCTCATCTTCCGAGATGCCCAGCAGCTCCATGGCGCCCTGGAGCTGGGAGAATGCAGCCCCCGCCTTCTGCTTGTCTTCAGGCTAAGGGAAGGGGAGAGAAGAAAAGGCTGTCACGGTGGAGGGACTGGAAGTCACAGCTCAGAGCTGAGGTCAGTCTGCGGGCCACGCGCTTGGTTTACGGCCGCAGTAAATTACCCACGGTTAAGCCGGGCTGGGTTTGGCGGACACGTTCAGACTTCTGGGAAGATTGTAAATGTCACTGGTGTCCGGTTTGGGGTGCAGGGTAGGTTTTATTCTTTTTTGGAAGGATTTATCGAGGCTCCGATTTGCACGGAGCTCTGGTCTGGATGTCAAGATAAAGGAGCCTCAGCTCCAGCCTGAGCTCCAGCTCGGAGCCTCTCAAGGCAGAAGTGAGCAGACGTGAAAGCAATGGGGCGTGGGAAATGGACTGCATGGCGGAGCCCAGACCCAAGCAGGCACACAGGAGATCACAGAGGACGAGCAGAAACCGGGGTGGGAACTTGAAAGGTAGATGTGGGGAACGAACCGAATGAGTGGAATAGAGGGCCCTACCCATGAGGAAGACAATGACAGCAGGTGGCTGGCCAAATGAGGACCCAGAAGTGGTTATTAGTGGAGGTGAGTGAGGCAAAGATGGAAGGCAGACAAGTCCTGAGGTGGTCATGGTCAGCCACAGACATAGTTCTAAGGAGCTAAGTTTCTAGCTGAGACGATTAAGTGCTGGGACCTGACCTCACCTCCATTTCTGGACCCGCAGCAGACATCACTAATCAATCAAGAGCCCATGGCAAGCCAAGTGGACCCAGATTTGTTTCAGAACACCACCTTTTGCCACCAAACCCCAAGATATACCTCAGAAGCTGGAGTAGTGTTTTCTTTCCACCCCTTGTGGGAGGAAGAAAAGTTGGCAGAGAAACTGAAGCAGCAAAGAATGGCCCAGTAAGATGATTATGGGTTATTGATCTTCAAGTGTCTTTTTTTCCTTTTTGTCAGATTTATAGTTCTAATTATATTTGACTGAATATTAAAATCAATCTAAAAGTAGTCCTGTGTGTGAGCCATCTGGCCAAGGACACAGAGTTCAGAAGCCTGGAAGGCAAAGGGAAAGTGAGGCGGGAACAGGAATCCTTTTGTCGGTAGCCCACCACAGCAAGTAATGAGGCACCAATTTGCACCTGATCCAAGTAAAGAATTTGGGGGGTATGAGGCAGGGCAATCTGTTAGAGCTGACAAGTCCATGAATTTTGTAGAGTCCCATGCCCAGAGAGAACACGACAGATGTCAAAGGTCACGCAGCCAATTAACTGCAGACCTAAGACCAGAAGCTTCCTGAGTCCTGCCCAGGCAGTTCCTTTTCTGCTCCAGCCATAGCAGTTAACTGAGAGACACGCAAGGATCCTTGGTCAATTGGAACAATATCAAAGCAGGTGGTGACATTGAGAGATTCGCCGTGGAAGTGTTTCAATTCACAGCAGAAGCATGTCCCAGCGCTCTGTCGTCTTTCTGGGCCACCACAGAACCACAAAGTCCCTAGCAACCAGGGACTCAGCCTAGCAACCGCAGCTGCTCCTCCAGCACACAGGGAAGGGAGGATTCCCACAACAAGAGCCTGGTTATTCATGAGATTTCATAGTAGCAGGGAAAGGACACGAGAGGACAGGATGTGAGATTACTCTGGCTCCTGATGTCAGCAAGGAGCACCTGACTTTGAATAATAGGTAGAACCTATCACCCAGCACTTTGCTGTCGTGAGAGGGAGGGGAGACTCCCAGAAAGCCTCACTCCTCTGTCCTCACAGCCCGTGTCGCTTTGGAAACAGAGGACGTGAGTTATCAGGGAGGTGTCTTCCTGTCAAATGTGATGAGGCTCGGGATGATGGCAGAGAGCCCATTGTTCTTTAAGCAACTGCACAGCGCCCTGATGGATCTGCTCTTGAGATCCATCAGGTAAAAACCGTGAAAGCAGAAATAAATCATCTGAGTGGATATGTCACCCTGAGCTAGCTGGGTACTAGGATGAAGCTGAGCAGAAAGTGGTGAATCCCGAGCCCAGGGCAGGAGTACTACACAGCAAGGAAAAAGGACAAGCCAATCATATTCACTGGTGTGTGTGTGTGAGTGTGTGTGTGAGTGTGTGTGTGAGTGAGTGTGTGAGTGTGTGTGTGAGTGTGTGTGTGTGAGTGTGAGTGTGTGTGTGTGTGTGGCTTCCAAACCAATGCTGAATCAAAGAAGTTGGATCCAAAGGGTTGCTCATCATTTGCCATCTGCCACCAACTAAAATGTCTAAGACAGCTAACTAGCAAGAATGCACGCCTTCCTGGGATAGCTGTCTGGGGAGTCCTGAGCACAGCACTGCATTTGGAGGAGCCTCGGCTGCACCCTGAGCTGGCAGAGCTGGCACATAGTGGGACAGAGACAGCTGCCTGGCTCAGGTCATCCTCCTTTTCATATAAAGACGCCAACACCATCATGGAGCCCACCCTTGGGGCATTATTGATTCCTGAACACCTCCCAAAGTCCCCATTCCAGACACCAAAGACTTTAGGGGTTAAAGTCTCCATCATTCCAGGATCGTTCACACCACAGCAAGCATGTAGTGTCATCTACGTGTGACGCTCAATCAGGGCACAGTGGTTATAGGAAGGCTTAGTGGGCAGCCTGGGCTAGAGCCTGGTATGTGGGATGTGTATACACCCATATGTACATGCCTATAGTGTGTGTGGCATGTCTATGACATGTGTAGGTGTACATGTTTGTATCATATGTGGCATGTCTATGACATGTATGTGTGCATTTCTATAGCATGTGTGGTATGCATGTGGTATATATGTGTATGTGTGTGTCATGTGTGTGTGTCTGTGGTATGAGTGTATGTGCATGTCCGTAGCACATGTGGCATGTAAGTGGTGTTATGTGTGTGTCTGTGGTTATGTGTATGTGCATGTCTGTGGTATGTGTGTCTGTCTGTGGTGTGTGTATGTATGTGCATGTCTATAGTATGTATGGTGTGTATACTATGTTCAAGTGTTCAGCAGCTTGCTTAGGCTAGAAATCACAAGAGCCACTTCCCTTCTCTGGCTGCCTCACCCACAGGGTCACACTTCAGACCCTCAGAGCTGCGGACAACACAGCCCACTCGCTCTCCTGCATACCCACCGGGGGGAACTGAGGCGGACAACATTTGATAATAAAATAGAAGCACAGCACAGAATAGTGACCAATTGAAAGCTCCGACTTGCTCCTCTCTGGCTCTTACACTGACCACAGCTGACCTCTAGAGACGAGGGTGTGGACAGCGAATCACAGGCAGGGGCTGCCATCCACCCGCAGGACCATAGCCACAACAGAGATACTGCTTTGCCCCATGGGCCCTTCCTCCCAGGTCCCTTAAGTCCCTCTGTTTCCCATTTCCCATCCACATCATATGCACATCTGCGATTGTATCTATCTGTATAAAACCCAGGAGCCACAACTGCAGGGACCACACGGCTAGGCTTTCCAAAACCTTCTCAATTCGCTTAACCCGATCCTCTCCTTCGCATTCATCTTCCTCAGAAGCCGGAGCTCCCTTCCCCTCCACAGCTGCATACAGTGCCACTGCAAACCCCACATTTCCTTTGTCCATCTCTGTGCTGGTGGACACCCAAGCTAGTTCCAGAAATTATTGCTGTCATGTGGTGAATGTTGGGGTGCCAGCATCCCTGTGTCAGCACCGAGCTGTACCTCTGGGTCACATGGACCTTAGTCTCTTGAGGAGCCTCTCTGCCGGCTTCCCACTCCCTCCCTCTACGGTACATGAGGAGCCCCTCGGCCTGCATCCTTGCCAGCGGTTGTCATTTCTTTCCTTAATGATGTCCATTCTGATTGGGGCTGGTTATGTCTTGTCATTTGAGAAGCGTCTGTTCGCTTCATTAGTTCACTGTCAATGGGTGTTTTGGTTTCTTGTTGCTTCGTTAGTTTTGGAGTTCTTTGCGTATCCTAGATGCAAATTCTAGATAATCCTCTGCCAGCTTCTGGTGTTCTGTGGGTCATCTTTTTCTGTTGTGTCCTTTGTTGTACAGAAGGTTTTTGTTTTTTTTTTTTAAATTCCACAGTGTTTCCTTCGTCAGAGCTGGCATTGTTCCCTGGGCGACTGAAGCTCTCCCCTTGGAGCTCCAGAGTGTGGAGCCTGGTCTGGGATCTATGGTTCATCTCAAGTTGATTTTTGCGGGATAAGAAGAGAGCTTCATTCTGCACCATTTGCTGAAGACACTTGTCTCTCCCCAGTATGTATTGTTGTTGTGGGTACACCATCTCGTGTCTGGGGCCTCAGCTCTATCCCAATGATCAACACATCTGTCCACATCTGTCCTGTGGGGCTTTCACTGCCCTATCTCTATGGGTTCACCAGAAATGGTGCGTGGTGACTCCTCCCACGGTCTTTTCATCTTCTAGTGTCTTCTCCAGCTTCTTCCCCCAGTGTCTTAAGGTTCTCACTGCCTGGGGCTTTGGATTGCTGGGCTGTGTTTATTGAGATATGTTTTCTGTGGTCATTGTGAATGGGATTGACTCCTTGGTTTCTTTCCCTGACGTCTGTCACTGGCGCAGAGGAGGGCTGCCACCTTGTGTGTGTTATTTGTGTTCTGCCACTCTACTGAGGGTGTCTGCCAACTCTGAGATTCCCGGTGGAGTCCTGAGGGTCACAGAATCAATCAGGTCATCTGCAGCTAATAATACTGTGACCCCTTCTTTCCCTGTTTATTGTCGGCTTCTCGTCCTTCTGTCCTGGCACAGACTCCACTGCTGCTGAGTAGGAGTGCAGCGTGGATGCCTGTCTTGTTCCTCATGTGCATGGGAAGCTTCAGGGACCCCTGTCTTGTTCCTCACATTTGTGGGAAGCTTCAGGGACCCCTGTCTTGTTCCTCACATTCGTGGGAAGCTTCAGGGACTCCTGTCTTGTTCCTCATGCACGTGGGAAGCTTCAGGGACCCCTGTCTTGTTCCTCACGTCTGTGGGAAGCTTTGGATTCTTCCATAGCATTCGTGTTGCTGAGACGACTTTTACCCCTAGGCTGCTCAGGACTTTTGTCATGAAGGACATCGGATTGTGTCAACGGCCCTCTCTGCATCTCTTGAAAGGTTTGTGACATGCGCCCTGATTCCATTTCCACGACGTATTGTGTTTATTGACTTGCATACACTGAACCATCCCTGCACCACTGGAATGCAGCCAACGTCTTATGATGAACGATCTTTTTAATGTGCTCTTGGATTTAATTTGCAAGTCTATTATTGAGAATTTTTTGCATCTGTGCTCAGAGAGGGACTGGCCCTTGTACCTTGATCTGGCTGGACTCCTCTCTACCTGGTGAACTCCTACTCATTCTTTAGAACCCAACGTCAGCCAGGCCCCGTGTCCCTGGCTATGAAACCTTCCCTGACTGAGGTCAAGCACCTCTTCCAATCACCCTCTGAAGCCCATAGTCTCACTCCTTCCTCCATGTTCTCTCTCCCGGCCACATTTATTCCCTTGCCTGACTTCCTACCACAGCGCCAGAGTCCTGACCTTTAACCCCGGTGTCATCACAGCTGAATGAGGGCAAAGGAGGTTCAGAAAGCACTGGAGAGGAAGGCTTAATGCAAGATGACACATGCTTGGATACAGCCAAAGCCAGGGTTGAAGGAACCCACTTGCTTCACCTCACCCACCACGCCCCTCTCTGTTCAGAGACAAGTCTCACTTCCTCAGTCGGCCCAGACTCCATGAAGGCAGCTCCTGCATCTCCCACATGACCGCCATTGCCAACTGCAGAGCCAGAGCAGAAGGACCCTCCATCACCTCCCAGCCTGGCCCTGGGACTGGGATGCACCTGGGAGGTCCATCACTTACCTGGGGCCACACGCCCATGCCAAAGGCACTGCTGTCTGCCATCTGGTGCAGGTTCAGCTCTGTCCTGGAAGAGAAGACAGGGAGTGAGGGGTCTGCCCATGCCAGAAGCACAGAGCAGGAGGTGTCCCCTGCAGGGTCCCACCCCAACTGCCCCAGGACATACCAGAGTGTTTCCGTCCTCCATCTCTATTTGTACCAGGGCCTCCCTCCATAATTACCCCATGCTCCAACCTCACACAGTGCTCCCGAGAAAGGGACTGGGATTTCTGTCTGATAAAATGTGAGAAACACCCCTCAGCCCTTATGCAGAGCCCAGGCAACCGGGGTCCTGAGCACCCCATTACTCAGTCTCTCAGCTCTAGCTGGTGCTTCACATGGGGCTCTCTTTATCCCGTTGCCTCAGCTGGCCCAGGTACTCACCTGAGATCCAGATCCAACCCAGCTAGCAGCTGGGAGAAAACTTCAAAGTTGCCTTCCCCTTGTGGCTGCCAGGCCACATGCCTGCTCTCCAGAAGCATTGTCTGTGAGGGCAAGGCGAGCAGTGTGAGACTTGGTCCCCAGAGGCCCCACCAGAGTGCCCCACCAGAGGCCCGACCTCCAAACTCCCTGAGGCCTCATCAAAGAGATGATCTCACCCCAGGCTGAGAACCCCACAGGCAAGCTCCAACTTCCATGAAAGGCGAGAGAGCCCCCCTCATCGAAGCCTGCCACCCTGCACCCAGTGGTGCAGGCAGAGCAAAGGCCTTAGTGGGTGCTGAAGAGCCAGCTCTCCCTGAGCTGGGCTGTCACCAGGCGCTGTGTGGCCATTCCCTCTAATGCTCAATTTTATTTTCTGTTCAGCTGGAATGCTGGAGAGGGGGACAGGCGCATGCCCAGCACACAGTGACAGGCTTCTGTGTGGATCTGTTACATTCCAACACGTGTGTCAACTAGCACCCGGATTCTGTTTGTGCTGCCTTGCACCCCTACCCCGGAGCCACACCGTGCTAGCTGCTTTCAACGTTCTGGAGGGCTGAGCCTCGTGGAGCCCTTGCCCCTCCCTGAGCCTCACCTGGAGCTGAGCCGCGGTGACACGGCCTGTGGCACTGATGTCCAAGCTCATCACCATGGCAAAACGGGTGGCCCTGCGGCTGTGGCCAGTGGACACACAGCCAAAGGCCCGCAGGACGGTGAAGGCAGCCTGGAGCTTCTCCACTGTTGGGAGACAGGGGAGGTGTCACTTGTGCCTCAAGTGGGCCACTCTGGTCTCAAGTCCCAGAATTGTGGGTAGGACAGAGACAATCTCTTTGACAAGGGTGTGGTGCCTGGGGTCCTCCTAACTCCTCATTAACAGAGAGCCTGAGAATCCTGGAATCTTCACATGGGTGTTCTGAGTACCCACAATGCCCTGGCATGGCTATTCTGAGTTCCCACAATGCCCTGCAAGCTGTGCCAAGCACCTGGAATCTCCCCATGGGTATTCTGAATACCCACAATGACCTGTCATGGCTATTCTGAGTTCCCACAATGCCCTGCATGCTGTACCAGGCACCTGGATACAGCCTGTCCTGTCTCCCACCTTCACACACACAGCAGAAACCATCTGTGAGAGAGTCTGGGTCAGCCCCACCCTCATCCCCAGCCCAGAAGCTAAATGCTAGAGCAACCACAGAGGGGGCAGCTGGCAGGGTACCTAAGGGAGGCCCAAGGGGGCTCTGCCCTGCAAGGTGCTCTTGTTTCTGCCTCAGGTTGCCATCACTGAAGGCTGGAGTTGGTAGCAATGTGTCCCTGGCATGGTCCTGAAACACTGACTGACCTAACAATCCATGGGGCTTGGGAAGCACCTGTCGGCTGCAATGGTGGCCATCGGCCACTGCCATCGGTGTAGCACCGTGTGGTCCTGGGGGCAATGGTCCCAGGGTGAGAAGACACCACTCTGGGAGGAAGTGAAAATGCTACTCTTTGTCTGTAGAGTACACAGACGTGCACGCACACACACACACACACACACACACACACACATACACACACACACACACACACACACGCTCACGTGTGTACTTTCTAAATAAACTCTGTGTGGCTAAGTGAAGAGGGTGGGAGGGATTAGCTGGGGCATTGATCTTTCATACCTGGGACATGATGAGGTAAGAAATGTCTATGGCTCTATGGGTAAGAACCCTCACCCAGGGTGGCTACCAATCTCAGCTCTCTGATCAGCTTGTTCTGTGACCTTGGATAAGCTAGTTAACCTCTCTGATTCTTAATGCCCTTATTTATAAAATTCAAATAATAATAGCTACCTCCCAGTCCTGCTCAAAATCACAGAGTTCTCGTGTTTGGAAGACCTGGCACAGGGTCCTTGGAGGTGCCCACACTGATGGCTGTGACTACTGTCTTCGTCATTATTGTGGGGTCTCTAAGGCCCACTGCACCCCCCCCAGGACACTTGTGTCTTTGCTTCTCGGATTCTCTGTATGAAGCACACAGCCTAGTGCACCATTCAAGGACACACCCTCCTGAGATACTGTCAATTTGTCTGGCAGGATGGCTCCCAACAGGAGGCAGCCGAACTTTTGTTGTCCCAGCTGTGATAGCTGCAATGGCCGCCAGTGTCATTAAGAGAGGTGCACTGTTATCCTGGCAGAGGTGTACAACGGAGCAGCAGCTTCCTGGGTCAGTAGCTAACAAGGGCCCTTGCCTATCTGTGCTCAGTGAATGGCAGCTGAACAGAAGCAAAGAAGAGCCACCTAGGACACTCCCACATGAGCCACCCAGGACCCCCGAACTCTTCCCTCCCTATTCCCATCCACCTGTCACCTGGAAACCTCCATACCTGACACCCTGCCATCCACGCTGCCTGCCATGCCCACCAGGTACTCCAGCACCTGCTCACAGCAGGTGGTCTTCCCAGCCCCACTCCGGCCCAGTGCCACGATGCTCTGGTCTCTTCTCTGGCTGAGCAGTGCCCAGTAGGCACGCTGGGCCAGGGATGTGACATGGGCAGGCAGACCATCCTGGCGGCCTCGGGGTACCTGCGAGAAGATGACACACATCAGCCCTCCTGCCAGCCTGCGAGTGCCATCCGCCGCTAGCTCACCAGGAGTCCTGGGAAACCTATGAGCTCATTAAAGGCTCCACCCAGAAGGGGTTTGTTGCATTTGCTAGTCCGGTCATTGGGTAGGATTTGCCTGAAGTGGGGTAGCTGGAAAGCCTGACACAACTGGTTACACTGAGCATGGAAACGGGGGATGACTGTTTTGTGTGTGTGTGTGTGTGTGTGTGTGTGTGTGTGTGTGTGTGTGTGTGTGATATGTCTGCCATGAAAACAAACTGAGCCATCCCCTTGGTCAAGAAACTAGTCGTGAGCAGTCACTGCTGGGTTCCGAGGAAGACGTGGAACAAGCAAGGCCCTCGGACCACGCGGGTGGGTGCTGTGTGATGCTGTCACTACAGAGCACAGGCGGGAGCTTTCTCCATAGAAACTCACACAGCCCACACCGCTGCTCCAGGTACATGTCCAAAAGAAAGGAAGACGTGTTCTCAGAGACCCTTACGTCACAAGTCACATTGAACATAACAGCATCCCAGCCCTCCAGCAATCCTGGTGTTGGTACAGCTTGTCCCAGGTCCCAGAAAACACCTCAAACTCAGGAAAACAGGTCCGGCATGAGTGAGTCAACAGAGACAAGCTTTACTGCATGTCTCAGACCTCTAGCTGGGGCTGCGTGAGGCCCCAGAGCTGGAGTGACCTCACCCTGCCTTGAGTCTTTTATTCTAAACCCCTGGTCACCAGCAGCTAGCAGGTTCTTAATCAAGAGCCATGGGACAAGGCACGCCCTACTTGTTGTAGCCTCAGAGCCTGGGAACTCCAGTTCATAAGCACCCCCACCCCCCGTCTTCCACCCTGTATGGAGAACAGATGGGGCATTGTACACCCATGGGCACACACAGACCTATATGTGACACCTTGGGCCTCCTGAAGAGTTCACAGCAGCCCCCCTCCACAGACCCCCCCAGCTGTACCCCACATGTGAGCTCACACCCAAAGACACTTCAATGTGTTCCAACCCCAAAGGAGCCTCTCGCTGTGTCCTGAAGCCACCAAGTCCAGACTCAAACTGTCCCTAGTCCCAGGCCACACTGCAGGCCTATGCCCTAGTTAATGGCTATCTGGGGAACCAGAGGTTGACTGAGCCAAGACAACTTCCTATGAGACTGAGATGGTGGGAAGATTGCGGGGTGGGGGGGGGGGGCGCC